GAATAAATTCCTGTTTACTCTGTCCAGTAATGTTTTTTATATTTTTCTACCACTGCTTTGAATTGGAACAACGAGCAGGTTTGATTTTTTCACTGTAATATTTCTGCTTCTCTTTCCGAATTTCTGAGGTAATTTTATTACGAAGCGATCTGTATTCTTCCATTCTCCCACGTTGGTACATTTTATTTCTGTTAGATATCATTTGTTTAATCCTCCCAGTCATAAAGGGTTTGTCATCTTTATGGACCTTGACAATTTTTGTTGAAAAACAGTTATCAATCATTGCATTAGTAATCGATAAAAAGGCGTTCACTTTGGTGTTAATACACGAGGCCTCGTAAACCGCTGACCACGTCTCTAGACCGATACAGTCTTCAAACAGGCGCAACCTCGTTTTTTTAATGGGTCTCACTGTAATCTTTTTTATCTCATTTTTACCTTGAGCTTGTTCTTTCGATTTCCATATAATAGCGCTGTGGTCTGAACAGCCAATCGGTGCCAGAGATACTGGTGTTTCATAAAACGAATGTGCCTTGGTCAGGATTAAGTCTAGAATTCTCCTTTACATTTTAAGGTTTTTTTAAAAATTAAACTAATTTGGGAACCTTACAGCTACGTAGTTGAAAAAGGAAGCATAGTTTTACGCAAAAATTTAAAGCAAGAAAATTCATAAACATTAAAGATTCAAGGTAAACTTGCTCACGCTATATTTCACGATTACCAAGGTATTAAATCAATTCTTTTTAATTTCTCCAATGCAAAATTGCTTGAAAGCTCATTGTATGAAACGATTTTCTCCTAGCAAACACCCATATCTTTTAGATTAGTGAAGAGCTCCACCCATGATACGATGAAACATGGCGACGCGCCCGCAATTGCAAATGCTTTGAATCCTTTCCTCGGGTGTAAACAGCAGAGTGGAATCAGTACCCTCTCGGAACGACGCTCTGCGCCGTTGGCTCGGGGATAAAGTTAATAAAGTTGTCCGTTTCAATAACGATTAAATGTATTTAATTTAATAAAGTCAAATCGCTGTTTCACTGTAGTTATTTTATAAAACTTGGGGTATCGCGTGCAAGGATGACATTATCCTGCATGGATGGAACTAATATGATCCTGCACGCGAAAACCATGCAGTTGGTATTCCTTTAAAGATGCTGTATATAAGGTCCGTTCTGCGTATTCCTTCTGCGCAGGCCTACATTCCAATGGTCGCGATCCGAACATGTGAATGTTATTAATATTTCGCACCTTCCGAACTTTCTTGAAATGAATCTCTGGTTTATATACAAGCATAGCGAACCAGAAGAGTGTTAAAAATTCAGTATAATATATATCTAATCATATTTTACAACTCAGAGTTCGTAGTCTCCAAGACCGAAACAATTCAAAGACTTTCAAAGATTTTTTCTGCCTATTGTCAAAGCCCTTTGAGAGCAATCAGCTGTCGAAAAATTGCGAGTGTAAGCCTGGTGCAAGCGCCATTTTTACACAGTAATTAGTCCAGTCAAATCACATCCTAAAATGCGCCTTTTTGTCGATATTTGCGAAAATCTTGCTTCAATCAATCTATTTTATTAGCTAGAAAATCGTATAATCAATTCCTCACAAAGAATTTTAAGACGTTTAAAGACTTCCTTCGCTTTTTCACACAATTCAAAGACTTTTCAAAGATCTTAAAGACCTGCATTCAAATTTATTATAAAGACTTTCAAGGATTTCAAAGACCGCTACGAACCCTGAACTGTAGCACTGAGTTCAAAATGTAAACAAAGTGTTTGTTTAAATTACGGTCTTTACAGCATCTGTAACTGTAAACTGACCTTCACAACTAATTCCATCTCCTGAATACCCAGCATTACAGGTACAGACGAATGAACCCTCAGTTTCATTACATGAAGCATGTTCGTGGCATCCGTGTCCTCCGTCAGAACATCCTGAAATTTCATTTAAAAGTGACCAAATTTTCTTAAAGTACATTGAAGGAAATCAAAGCCTTACAAATCATGAAAATGTTACAGTCAAAATACAAGAACTTTTTTCCCCCATTACGCCCATGTGCTTGCACAGTCTGTTGCAGTTTTCTGAATTAATTATGATTAAGTACAAAAATATAATTTGCTTTTCTTTTTTATATCATAGTTTTGAGGAAGGATGCATTTTCGTTTTATTCAATCCATGTTAAACATAATAGTTGCGAAACTTAAATATAAGGGCACGATTACATTGAATGGCTGGATATTGGTAGAAACGTTGATGGTGAGTTTTTTTAAGCCGAATAATGCGAAAAGTGGATTTTTTTATACAATAATATAATAAAATATCTAAGGAGCGTTTCTTTTGTAAATCTAGATATGAATTTTTAGGATTCGGATTGTTTGGATTCGTTAAACAAATGGAACGAATTGTGAGAATCGGAATTTGCCTACTGTTTTACCGCCATTTTTACACCATAGTTTTCTGTCCTACTATACCTTTCGGTCGGGTCAAGGTACATGCTAGAACGCCATAAGCTCAAAAGGAACGTTGAATCCTAATCAAGTTTCAGATTGAATCCGAAAAATCCATATGTTGAGGTGGATTTATCAGATTCGAATCTATTTGGAGATTTTGCTAAATGAAACTGAAAATCGATAATCGGATTTGAAGATCTAAATCCGGAATGCACTAAAGGAACGCACCCCAAGTGGTTGTTTACAAGCACACGTGCAAGTGTGTAGGATTATTGGTCATCCTGTCACTTTCGTGCATAACATCATGCGGTTAAAACCCCAAGGCCGATAGCAAAAGCAAAGTAGCAGTATAAACTGCTTTAACGGCTCGCGAAAACTTCGAACTGCAAGTTGAAAGTATTTAATAGCACGAAGATTGGCATTTAATTATAAGTATATGATGATATACACTGTAGATCTTAGATGATGTAAGTATAACTTTTACCATGCAGTTATTCATTGATTAGGATGGAACGGAATAAGCCGACCCTTTTACAATCCTGGGCATCATTCAAACAGGATGCTTTAACCGTTTTAAATGACTTGGTAAAGAGTATATATATGAAAACACATTTTCAAATTATTTGTTATTATGAGTAACAGCATGACATGAGGGAAATTGGTGATTAATTAAATGCCCCAACTGAAGGCGAGGAGTTTGTGGAATTTCTCGGCCCTGCGCCCTCGGGAATTCCACAAACCTCCCGAGCCTTCGGGGCATTTAATCACTAATTTCCCTCATGTCATGCTGTTGCTTTGTAATAACTTAATACTATGGTACCGTAGTTAGTTTCTATTATCCAAATAAGTCTGTATAGAGGGTGTATCAAAAATAGGTAATCGAACTTCAGCGCGCTATTGCATCTGAATTACGCTGCGTATGACTTTTTCACATCCGGAAAGATCAGGCTTTTAGCTGTTGAACGATATGTTTTTCATGCAAAATGGATGACAAATGAGCAAATACGAATCCGATAAAAAATGTTAGTCAGATCGCATATAATATAACCGTTGAGAGTGAGTCTAAAACTATTGAACATTAAAAACCTTTAGGACTTAACTAAGTTGATGAATTTTACTTCATTAAACTACGCACATATTCATAATTATTATTAACTATTAAGTGGGAATAAATTTTAGCTAAGCTGTGACAAATTCGTGATTAACTGCTTTTTCTTTTGTTATGCACTGCTTTAATTAGGCACAGAGGTGAAAATATGCTATTCTGACTAACATTTTTTATCGGACTCGTACTTGCTCACTTTTTCTCGACTTGACATGAAAAACATGTCATTCAATAGCTAAAAGCCTGATCTTTCTGAATATGAAAAAAACATGTTCATACACCGAGTAACTCACATACAATAGCGCGCTGAAGTTCGATTACCTTTTTTTTATACACCTGTAATAATTAACAGTACATAAAAAAGTCTCTTTAAAGAAGGTATTGTTTCGATGTTCGGCCATGCATACAGTCGAGCGGACCAATTAGCAAATTGCCCGTTGAGCTACAATTTAGAGATTTTAATGCCCGCTCGGGTAATAGAACCGGAGGTGATCATGGTATTATAGCAGTAATGTAATGTATATTTTCTTGTGGAGTAATTGGGATAAAAGTACTTACGTATACAACTGGTGCCATTGTTTACAAATCCTTCATCACAAACGCAATCATAACTAATATTTCTATTGACACAAGTTGCATTGTGACCACAAACAGGGGTGGGGTTACTTCCTGTTGGATTACATTCATCGTAATCTGAAATGAAAGAGAAAAGTGATTCTGTTCAAGATAGACTACAAAAGCAAGACTAATATATATATATATATATGAGAAAAAATGTCCTTGAATATGGTATGTTTAGCGTGCGTTGACAGACTATAGTGTGTTGATGGTGTTGTATATTGCACGAGGGTGACTAATTATCCAAAGTTATAATTTTCCATTGAGAATGTCCTATCACTACTCTGTCACAGCAAATCTTAAGCACGGTATAAATGGAAGGATCAATTGGCGTAATCTCAAAGTGTAGCTATTTTTGTATAAGAAATTGCCTTGTGCGTATTTCGACAATCCGTATGGCACGGGTACCTAACTATTTCATCCTTATGGTGACGGTCAGAAAGGGATATAATATGTGCAACATAGGACAGAAACTGTCAAAAAGTTGGAAAACCTACTACCCTATTAGGTATTCTGTGGGCGGGACAGGACGTTTGCCGATAACCTACAGTAATGTGTTTAGTGTTATATTATAATTACGATCCACCCCATATAAAACTTTATCCCAGGCAAAGAACTTGCTACCGAGCACACATATACAGTATATAAGCCCCATTTGCTGCAACAAATATAAGGATGACTTTGCACTTTAAAATTTCTACCAACGTTTAGTATTTTCAATTCATTGTATGTCACATTAGCACCTTGGAATGTTAAATCGCTGCTGATTTGAAGACCACCAGGAAATGTGTCATTGTTTGTCGTATTCAATGCTCCGACTAATTCCTCCTGTATTATTTCATTATTTACACCACTTGTGTCGTTAAAGGTTACAACATAGTCGACACCCACAGATCCTTGACTGCAAATTGCAATGTTAAACATTAATTTGAATGATGTTTTGTGATACTCTTGTGTGACTGGATGGATGAGAACAGTGATATTTTCAAAACGATAGAAAGAAAATGGAACATAAATCTGATTATTGTATCGTGACTAAATGTCATGCAAAGGGCCCACTGCAGTGGCACCGTGGCCGGGGGGGAGAGGGGCAGAAGTGGCTCCATGCCCCCCCTACTGTTGAGACCCGTCGGAAAATTGACAATGTTGTCGGAATCTTCGTGGTGAAGCATGGGAAAAAGTGCTACCGAAATCGGGCAAAGTGGTACGAAAGCAATTGTAACGTTATTGTCCAGAAAATTTTTTTACCAAAAAAGTTGTCGACGGAAGGGAAGGAGATTTAGAGTGTTGTTGTCCGAAAATTTTTTTGTCGGAAAAGTGTTGCCCTTGCCCCCCCTTGCCCCCCCTTCCCCCCCCCCTCAAAAAAAGCATAGGTCCCACGGCGCAACTAGCCCACTGTTTGACTTATACATGGCTATAGTGGCATAATATAATAGTGGCGATTTAATTTAAAACTATCATTGGAAGGACGAAACAATAAAAAATTAAATTTGGCACTCAATGTGAAATTACACACAATTTAATTTGTTCTATGCATCCTGCATCAAAACATTGATCAGTATTGACATCTTAAAAAAACAGGAAGTGTGAAAATTTGCTCACTTTGTACGGTGTGATACTTTTTATCAAATTTATACTAGAAAATACATGTATGCATGCAGAAACCTTCGTCTAACTGACAAAACCATTATATTTTCCGAACATGAAGTATTTAAAGTAGTTGTCATGGTAATAACACGATAATTTCATCAACAATATTTTTATAACTGAATAATCCAAGCGCTTCGCAAAACGTTTTAAAATGTACTTTATAAAATTATTATTCTATTACTAAACTTAACCTTTATCGATAAACTTTGAGTTTGAAATAAAATGATTTCAAATTGTCGCATACAAATAACTTTCCTTTCTTTTTTATTTAATTAAACAATTCAATATAATAAAAAACTGGGTAACCAATAAAGATACCCTAAAATTATATGCTGTCTTTCCTCATTGTACGCAACGATCAGCTTTTAAAGCAATTATATAGCAGACAATACATCAAAATTTAAAACAAACTTAATTACCTTCATTAATTAACGTAGGCGTCTTTGCTCCCTGCTTTACGCAATTCTTTCGCCTTTTTATCAAAAAGCTTTTGAAATTTACAAAATCTTGCAAAAATGAAATATATTTGCAATAATTATTTGCAATACAAATCAAGAAAGGTTTGCTATTTCGCTGTCGTCATGCAGTCGTTATAATGCAAATGCCGCTATATTTTGAGATCAGTGAGGATGACCACCTACGCACATTAACCCACGCCCGCGATCATTGATGAACTTTAGACTTCGCTAGTGCTTTCCTTTTCCAGGTGGGTAAATAGCCGGGCGGAATTAGTACCCTCGCCCTGGGCTTACGCTCGGAACAGCGCTTCGTGCCGTTGGCTCGGGGATTAACTACGCAAAGTTTTACAACTTGTGCCATTTTTTTTAAAAAAAGGTCAGCTTTATGGATGGAATGAAATTTTCAATATATTCTAATGATGACTGCGTCAAAAACACTTACAATAGTCCTAGGATGGTGATTGAGAGAAACTTAGAACGCAGTGTCGCAGTTCTTCTGAAGAGTCCGGTTAGCTGTAATAGAATAAAAAAACATGATGTATTTTAAAACTCGCATTCACATTTTGTACAAATATATCGGTTTAATTGTGAGCGGTAAAGTCTAACTTATTTATTCGGATGGTCACAATTTAGAAGAAATAAAGCGAAATATTTCTACGAAGAAGTCTCTGCCGGTAAGTGTAAATCACCTAAATTTAACCCGATCAGAAATTGCACCGAAAATGCTTTCGTATTCAGCTACTTAAGATTCATCTACTTAATAAAAAATCACACTTTAAAAAAAGATTGAACGAAAAATTTCGAAATTTTTCTTGCAAGATGAAATCCAGCTTTAGTCTCGAAATTCTACTATATGACAATATCTAATCTGATAATATAAAATATTTTCATTTTCTGCACCAGTGAACAAAGGTTATCGCTATCTAGTCTGCTTTCAGACAAGTGGTAAGGTCTCGCATTAAGATTATGCCTTATGATTTGCACAAACAGGGTTAGGGTTAAGGAAGGGGTTGGGATTGATGGTCAAGATAAAAAAGATCTGTATTCGTATATTCGTGCACGGTTGCATTTTTTTCGTTTAAAAATTGTTTCACTCCTCATTTTTCGCCGGGAAAACAAGAGCGGGCAGTTGCATTTCACAGCGGGCAGTTGCGTTTCAGAGCGGGCCGGATGTAAAAAACCGGCCCGCTCCGAAAAGCTCCTCAGCCAATTTCAGATTGCTTCATTCTGACTGATAAAAAATAAATTATATAACAACACGGGCGAATCAAGAAAATAAAAAATAAAAACTAACCATGAGTTCTTTTTTTCATTTCCAAATGGTAATTTAATTAACAAAACATTAAATGTTGTACCTGGATGATGATCACTTGAGTGATTTGAAAATATGCAGCGCTTCTTGGATCATTATAATCCGCCAAGAATACCTGATTAGTAATCAGAATTTGACCCTGGACAGCTGCCATAACATCTAAGAAAAATAAAATATTTTATGTAAGTTAGGTTACCTAGTCAATAGAATAAGAAAGTTAGGAAACTCGATGCAGATTTTATATACTGCTGCAGATATAATATACCTCATTATAGGTTTTTGTATTGGTTTGTGCGAAAAATGGTCGGTTCATCGTCGGTTCAATGGTTGGTTCATTGTTTGTTCGCTCAATCAACCATTAGCAGTGTGTTGGTTCAATTACCCAGTCGTGATATTACACAATGGTTAAATGAAAACATAGTTATTGGTTGCTCTAGCGAAGATGAATTACATGCATGTGACGATGAACCGACCATTTCTTGCATAAACCATGCAAGACAACAAGTACGATCGTATACTACTGCGTGGGACCAATGGGACCAGGAACTGTTCACTGCGTTGAACCATCGCTTTAGATCGGAACTCAAAATTTTGCATTAATGTTTGAAACCCTTAATGTTGGTTCGACGAGGCAAAAATTTTAAATATGTTAAAATGATCTAAATGATCGAACAAAACACTAGTTAATTAAAATGGTTCTCGAAGTGGAGGCGTTTTATATTCGCAGCGTTCGCTCAGGGTTCGTTGCTTTAGGACCGATTTACACCACATAACTTTCGCCTAAAACTGCCGCATGCAACCTTCTTATACAACTTGAGTTGTATTGTGTAAAATTTAATAAAGCACACAACTTGCCTACGACAACCGGTAAGCGAGTCCGCTAACATCGAGTTTCCTAACCTTATTCTATTGACTGTGGTGAGATTAAGGTAAAGGTCAATCAATATATAAAAGCCAGGCCGCTTGCATGTCTTGTTTGAAACTTGTTGACAACAGACGTTGTGGACAATATTTAAGCTAAATTCTGCCAAAAGCATATAAAAAGTCAAATTACCGTTAAAATAAAAAAAGAATAGAATTACCTCCATCAAAAGCTAATTTGGTATTAAGCACAATGTAAGTCGTAGTTTGCTATCTACGAGAAAATTCAGAGAGTTCTTTGACGCTGCAAGGCGTATCAAGCGCCAAAAATCTAAAGATTTTGCTTTAAATTCTGGAGTATAAACACGATTTCTAAGCTAATATTTCTCCTACAACAGCTAAATGTGATCGCAGCGAAAAATACATAACTATTTTCCCGATTGACTATGTAGTTGCCAAGGGAGACCGGCATATATCGTGGTGGCATTACTGGTCTGGTTAAATAAGAGCAAAAGTAATTTTGGAGGCATCAGATCAAATAAAAAGAAGAATCGATGTATAGTTAATCATTCAATACATACCAACACATCCTGACTCGTCATCAGTAAGTTGTTGTCCGGGACTGATGCAGTTACAGCGATATCCTCCTGGATAGTTGGTACATCCTTGACCTACTCCTCTACATCTCAGTGGTGGTGTGAGATCCGTACATTCGTCGATATCGTCTACGTAAACAAAAAGCCAGAAAAAGACGTCGGTAAAAAGGATAGAGAGACGCAAATATTGCGATGGATCCTTAGGTTTAGGCTCAGGAACATGGGGAATATTGTAACGGTAAGTTGCATGTGATGATATCGATACCTCATACGGAGTATCGATCAGAGACATTCAGGAACTATACCTATGGGGTACATATACCGTTTGTGCTCAATTACACAAATTTAGGCCTAAAGCCATTAATAAAAGAATGAACTTTTTAAATTACCGACCGTCTAACATATTCAAGTTCACTGTGGTAAATGTAATTAGAAGGAACATTACAATCCGTATTCCCATTTCTTAGTTAACGCCTTCTTTCAATTCGTATTATCTGTTAATTAAGCAACTGTTTCCATAACTTTATTTTTTATGTCACGGTATACTTTGGTAATAAAAAGAAAATAAAAATTACTGGGATTTTACAATCACGCGCTTATTCATGGTGAGAATATACAGGTAGACTATAGGTACACTTTCCATATATAGTCAGCAAACTAACCTTCAATATATAATTATATGAAAAGAGTTTGGAAACAAATGAAAATGGGAGAACTTGAGAACAGAAGTTTTTAACAAAGTGTACGCCGGGTTTATAACATGAGAGGAATAGGGAAATTTATATCATCATCTTTAAACCTCGACATTTTTGACGAAACAACTTGTGTTGTGTAATTGGCATTTAGTAAATCCGACACTAATAATTATCATGAGACTCAAAAACAGACATGGAAATACTTTTCATCCTATAAATGATCATCTTGAGAAATCTTTCTAATAGTTTGGAATAACATCGATAGGCAGAGTAAAAAAAAAACATGGATAGTAATATATAATTATTTACTGACCACAGTGTGTTCCGTTTCCCCTATATCCAGCCTTGCAAACACATTCATGTGTTCCGATTTTATTATTACATACAGCGTTCGGTGAGCAATTGTTATCTTCATCCTTGATACATTCGTCAATATCTAAAAAAAACCCTCAAATTAATAAAGAGGCTGTCAAGTCTGTTCTGCTCATGCGCGTGTTTTGTTTGCATGTTTGTTTCAAACAATTGATCAATAATTTAATTAAAATTCCGATTTGTGGGCCCTCACGGTTAGCTCATTACGCACTCAGATATATCACGAAGGAAAAATTGAACTACTAAAGCAAAAATTTAGCTTCAAAACAACAAATTTTAAATCGAAAACGCTAAGAAGAACTTCTTACGGAGGTATGGACAAAATTTGATTGAAATTTGTACACATTTAGGGCCCATTTAGCTCCCAAACGACAAATATAAGATTGAAAATGTTAAGAAACACATCTTTATACAAAGGTAAGGACAAAATTTGTACACATTGCAGTCAAATTTTGTCCAGATCTTTGTAAGAAGTGAAGCATTTTCCATTCAAAATTTGTAGTTTTCGTAAATTTCTCCACCTTTTAGCTATCATTCTTAATTTTTAATCGGTATCACTCAAATATATATTTTTATCTTCCTATATACAAATCCATGTTTTGTCGAACCTAAGTAAATCGAAATGTTTGCAAACCGAAGATGTTTGCCATCTTAGGTCACGGGATGCGAGTTGATAGCAATTCGATATTTTCCTGGGAATCAAAACACAAGCTAATTAGACAACGATAATAATAATAAATTTATAATATCAGTCAATCAGAACTTGATTCACGACTGTTGGTAGTGACCCCATTCAAGCTTCTCGCAATAGAAAAATCCCCAAAGGTCACATTTACACCAAGGCTTGAAATTTGCAAAAGCTGCAATATGCATTAAAAATTCGGTATTTAAGGTGGCTCCCTACAGTTAGTACAGTTTAAAACACGATTTATATAGATCGGACGTGATCCTCGCTTGGAATCTTCGTGCATGGCTCTGTAAAAATGTTTAAACAAGCAGTGAGAACTTTTTTGAAAATTAAATGAAAATGCAAATACTAGTTTTTCACTATAATCCTAAATTTGTCAGAATTCGAACAGTGCGTGTGTTATTAACCAGTTTTTACCTTAGGCTATCTTTTGGTGTGTTCTTACGTATTTAGGTTCAGCATTGTCTTCTTTACAATGCTCAAAATTTTTAACTTGTTGTGTCGCCGACTGAAACGATATATATACTGTCTTCAATGAACTTTTGAAACGTTGAATTGTCGCAGAATTTATGTAGGCTAAGTCCTGTCCGTTCAACTTAATTCACATTAATCTGCTAAATCTAATACAACAGTTACGAGATGTTTTATACGAAAAGTCAAACTTCTAGTTGAATGTTTTGAAAAGTTTTCATACCGATTTTAACAACAAAAACAAATACACCGTAGGAAAAAAAGGATATCCCCGATTCATTCTGAATTTAGGTATTTAGGTATTCAACTAACCTTCACAATCAGTCCCATTTCCAGAGTAGCCAGGTTTACAAGTGCAGTTGAACGAACCATCATTATCTTCACATGTAGCATTTCCATGACAGTTATGACTTCCTTCATTACATTCATTATTATCTGAAAAGTTTCATTCGAATAAGACGAGTTTCGAGTTCTAATTTCATTTCTGGGGTGTGGGGATGTAGCCCCCTAGCCATCCACTCTGTTCTCCATCCACTTAATTGGTGGTCAACGGTCTAGAGTCGTCATGTAATTGCTAATATTAGCGTGCCCATTTTTTCCGCAGAAACATCGGCTTTTGCAGCGTTTCATGATTTTTTTAGATTACAACATTACAAAAAACCTGTACACGCACACGTTACCCCCGTTGTGCTTTCGTATAGATGGTCTGTAAAAGCTTATGTACGTGTTATGGCCCATTTCCACTCAAGACAATTTTCTGCGGAAAGAAAAATTTGTAAAATGTGATTGGTCGACAAAAATTTTCCGTCCGAAAAAAATTTTGAAGTTAAAATTTTCAACTTTTAACAACGATTTTTTGGCAAATTTCTGTCCGTGAAAGTTTCTTGAGTAGAAATGGGCCTTCGATCAGACTTAGGAAAATGTGGTTGCAAAATTATTCTAGTTCAAAGACCGAGGCAGTAAACTCCTAGCTTAATTAAGGCCGTGTTGTACAGTCAGGGACGTCTTAGCGTCTCTATAGAAGTGGGGTGTGCACACTTAGCGCCCGTCAAAGGCAGGCGAGAATCTATGGGGTCCGGGGAGTGCCTCTCGGAAAAATTTTAAAATTAGAGTCTCTGAAATGCCATTTGCTGCGCTTTAGAAGGAGGTCTACAGAGTTCTAAAGGTAACAAAATGTCATAAATATCTCAAATTGTTTTGTCTACACACATAACTGAAATAATATCAATTAACTTGTGGTTTATTATAAGCCATTGTTAAAAAGTGGGGGCCCAAAGACATTTAGCCCCCCTCCCAACTAAAAGAGTTATGTGTGGGGGGATCGGGAGTCCCCACCGGTGTCCCCGTTTCCGACGCCCCTGTGTACTTTATGTAACCTATGGTACAGTATACACATTAATATATACTTCTAAGTTTCCACAAGTTTGATATTGTAACTTATAAAGCTATCTTAATTAAGAAATGTTTTTTTCTAAAAATAGTAAAATATTATAACCTATCAGCGTTTTCATCAAAAGCACATCCAAAAATTATACTCCACTTACTTGTGCAGTTAACACCATCCCAAAAGTATCCCATTTTGCAAAAACATACATATGAACCATTTGTGTTAATACATTCAGCATTAAAGTGACAATTATCAGTTTGAAGCGCACATTCATCAACATCTGGAAACATAAAAATTAAATTCATTTTGTTAAAACACATACAGTTGACATAAGGCCGTTTATGGCATAAGTCATTCGGTGAAAGTCCGCGATAGCTCATTATATGATTGAAAATTCGAAAATCTCATGTGCAAAAATGTTTCATGTACGTACATGCACAAAAATATTTCTCTTAATTAATTAAAAAATTTTGCAAGCATCGCTGGCCAACTGCTATATGTTTACGAGAATAGGCCATATCAATAATCAGGCTAACGGAAGATATAAAATATCTGCCAAATAATCTTGGGCGTCCGAAAATACCTAGATAAGCGGATTACCTTTGCAGTATTCAAATAGCTTATTTCATATCATGTTAAAAGAGCGCCGTAAAAGGCATTTTCGTGAGCCATGAACTGCTAATTAATAATAATAATAATGATAATAATTGGGAAATTATTGTTAAATAACAGAATATAATTTATTCGATCGCGAAAGGTGATTAACATGCGAAGCAGGACGCTTATATACAGGGCGGTGCAATGTCAGCGACTTTTTCAGTTTTTGAAAGTTAATAAAACAGCCATAACGAAATTATATGTAGACCAAGTAACTCGAAATGTTATACGGCTTTTAAATATTTGGAAAACTTGAACCAGGATCAAAGTTGTCTGTGAGTGAAAAACGGGAAATTGCGCCGCGTAGTTGAATCGCGTCCAGTGAGTCTCGGCCGGGATGGAACAGGGTCTGGGACGAGCGTGTTTCAGCGTAAAATCCAACAAAAACATATTTTTATTTCCGAATTGCAGGTCGATCAGCGCGCGCGCTCGTTGCATCACCCCAGGGCGCTTTTATATAGGTCAATGAAACGGCAATAGCCACGCTGATCGACGAGTCTTCGGTTGTTACCAATGAACTGGTAACGAGCCTTCGGTTGTTAGTATGGCGAACGTTGTTGAGTATGACAAGATAAATATTGCGGGAAAACTGAGCTCGATTTAGTAGTCAAGTTTTGATGAAGATATATATGTTGATGGTACAATTCCGACGATATACGATAACGCAGTAGATTCTCGTATTGTATTTATCAGGTATAACTGCGTCTGCCAATCTTTGGATAATATTTCAAATACGAGTTAGTGTTTTAGACGTGGTTTCGAAATACAAGTACCATGAACAATGGCGAGGCGCAGCCGAGCCATTGTTCATGGCACTGGGGATTTGGAAGCCAAGTTTAAAACACTAAGGATTTGAAACACTAGTATTTGAAATTGCTTCTCACACATCATTAGACTTTCATAGCAATGAGGCATGAAATTATTAGATATTCAAAAAATAGGTACGCGACGCGTACATGTATCTGCGAAAAAATTGACTCACATTTTGTATTTTCTTGAAAGGAACTGAATAATGAAGATGACATGGGACAATAGACCTTATGCATTATGACGTCACAAGGTTTGATGCCCGCGAGTCATCGCCCTGGAAAATTTCTATAGTCACCATTTTGAATTGTTTAATTTTCCCGGGCGATAACTACTAAGACCAGCATTAAGGGTGCGGCAATTTTAATTATCTTGCTAGATATTTTATCTAGGCCAGCAGCTTAGCTACCAGATAGTTCACGTAATAAAAGACAAATCTGATTTGTAATAACTGATTTGAATACAGTAAATTCAGAATTAGTTTTGTTAAGATAATCTTTAAAATTGCATTCTGTTGTACCAATATTGTCGGCTAAATTTGGTCCAATATTCAAAAAAAAGGTAATGAAGCCCTCTAAAATATCATCATGGCTGGTCAATTTCACACCATTTCTTAAAGTTCAGTTCATTTACTTTAGTTGGTCGATTCTCTTTACCAAGTAAAGTATTAATTGTTTTCGAAGCAGCTTTCGGATCTTAAAACCCGACCTTCACTTGGTTAAAACCCGACCTTCACTTGGGGGAACAACATAGTTGACTGGAGGGACCAAAACAGGGGCTGGGGGTGACAAGTCCCTCAAATCTATGGTATTAAAAGAGGCCCTGACATGGCGTCAATTCAGGTCTTGCAGTCACACGGGAATATTAAGATTGGCAATGAAATCCGCTATTATTGGTGGCAAAAATAATGGTAAGGACATGCATACACGCATACACACAAATTTTATTTAACCACGCTAGTATCATCAACAACCGTTGCATGGGAGGCTGATTTCAATGAGGAGAGTGAAATATAAAACTATTTACAAGAAATGAAGAAATATGGAAAAAGATAAAATGAGAATAAATTGAAGGAAAGGGGACAAGAAAACACGGTGATTTTTAATGCACGATCATACACGAGAAAGTTTCAACCCATTCTTTGTTTTAGTATCGAGTTGAAAGTTAAGAGCTTAAGGACTACGGACAGCCGACTGCCTCGTACCCAGGCGCTTTGGTTTAGGAAACCACTGTCTGAGTTCGTCTGAAAATTGCCTTTATCAATTCGTATTAAGCCAGTTTATAAATAAAAACGATTATTTGAAACTTTATCGAGTAAATGTGACGGCCAATTTATGCCGTGTTTGGTTTTTGTGGGTAGCCGCGCATGCGCAGCTAACCACTATGTGAGAGACTGAAGCGCGATCTTCCGTTTCTCTGTGGCGCTGTGGCTCTGTGGCGCTGTGGCCTTCGTGTCCGCGGTGTCCTGCTGCGCGGTTCCTTTTATCCTTGAAATACGAACCGTCTATAGACCACAGGCTAAGTTCACTAACGCTCATACCGTACAGAGATGTGTATAAATTCTTAGTAAAGTCTTTATTGTAATATGTTTTGTCAGGTCGATAGTCATTTCCAACGCATATAGAGTCGAATATGTCGTTGTTTTTATAATCACTGCTTGTACAAGGGTCATTGGGGTTAATATTAGCGCAAGGGGTCTGTTTTATATCGTGTAATGTCATATTTAAACACGACATATCAGTTTGATCAAACATTTTATACGTATTAGAAAAATATAGTAATTAGTGATATAGCGCGCGACGTTTGGACATATTTACGTTAGTCTATATCGAAGGAATGTTGACGAATGACGAACATATAGGTATATAGAATCGAGTATGTCGTTGCTTACATAATGTTTGTAAGGCCACGTCATTGGAATCGGAGCAAATAGAAAGCCAAGCACGGTTTACACAAGGATTAAATTAGGCAGTGGAATATTAGCGCTTTTTTACTTAGGGATATATTTGTCGAATATTGAAAGCAAATTGAATGTCATTACCAATATATATGAGATCGATTATGTCGTTGTTTAAATAATTCAATCATCACTGTACTAAATAAATATATGTTGATCTTTTTCAAACTCCGCTGGAAAACATCGTCCTTAGATCTTTGCATGGACTATCCTTGAAACTCAAACTTCACGAAAATTGTATATACGCAGCCTATAAACCTGATGCTTTGTCTTTGATGTATGCTGTCCTTGAACAAGAACTGTTCTTGTCTTAAGTGTTTTTCGTACTGTCTGTATTTCGGCGTGTGATGTATTTTGTTTCGTATACATATTAAAGACCTTGTACTGTTCTGTCTGTTCAGTGTTCAAATTATTTTTGACACATTAAAATACTTTGTAACTTCTTAAATCTGTTTATGCTTATTGAAAAATGCACGTAACAGTCGTTTACGTATTTTTGTCATATCTGATGTTCAGTATGTGATTAAATGTGTGTATAATATTTGAATTGTGTTCAATTTACTTAATACTTTCTTTCAGTAAATTCGGAATTTGACAATAGCAATTAAGGTGGAGTAATATTAAATTAATATACTAATATGGGCAACAAAATTGCTGCAACTTGCAACAAAATCTGATTTCTGCGCATGTTAATTGAAATGTTTTGTCAACATTTCTACTTAAAATGCGTTGAAATCAGATTTTGTTGCAGAAATTTTGGCTGCAGCAATTTTGTTGCGCGTATTACTCCAAAGTCCAACCTCGGTATTACTCCAACTTTAACAACAATTAATGCAGGCTACCCACATGTACGCAGCGCGTACCTATTTTTATTCAATTTAATCATTCGCCACCAAAAACGGTGGAGTCAAATAATTACGCCATCACTTAGCAAACGGCGGAATACAAGCTTCTGGAAAGTACGAGCGCCGTTTACATTATTGAGACGTTGGGCTTTATACATTGTTACAAAGCTTTATGGTCGTTTCGTCCCCTTGCTGTTTCGTCCCAGGTCATTTTGTCCCCTTGCCGTTTCGTCCCCTTCGCGTTTCGTCCCCAACACGGACGTCACCCGAAAATTGGTAGGACTAATTTTTTGGCGGCATTTTGCATGATAGCGCTCGTCTAAGGAAGCAAAAAACTTAAAAAATCTTAGGTTTTGTCCTATATGTTGAAGATTACCACAAGCTGACAAAAACACAGTTTTTAATCCAGTCCCCATCGACGAACTGACGTCCGTGTTGACAAAACATTGCGATCTGAAGCTCACTAATGGCAGTCGTTGGTCTAGTTTTCGTCAGACTCAGTTCCAATTAAAATAAAGTAAAGTCAAGTGTCACTATAATAGTCCCTGACAACAGCAATATTAATATTGTGAAATAAAAGCCAAATATTTAAGTTTCATTTCAAAGTTGCGGAATTTAAATACAAAAATGTGTATTATCCAGGCATACAATCCACTGAGACACAATCTCAAAAAGTAAGATATATTGTCAGGGACGCCGGAACGATAAAAAGGCAAGGGGGGAAAACGCACACCAAAGGGCACCTCTACAGACTCCGGTGAAGATAATCTTACAATTATGTGTTGACTTGCCAATATATGAAAGCAAACGCACTTAATTAGGTCACATTCAAGATCACACCTCATGATTTTGCCGAAAAAGCATCACTGGAATTGTGATTTATCAGGTAGTATTTCATAACTCAAAGGGCACTTCTGCCCCCCTTGCCCCTCCTAGCAAAAGGCAAGAGGGGCAGCTGCCCCTCCTGCCCCCCCCCCATTTCCGGCGTCCCTGTATATTGTATTAAGGAAGTAGGTTATAGATAAAACAGAGTCTAGTCTGGGGACGAAACGTGAAGTGGACGAAACGGCAAGGGGCGAAACGACCGGGGACGAAACGGCAAGGGGACGAAACGACCAGTTACCGTCACGAACACGAAAGCGAGCCTTTATAGTGACGTATTTTCCGGATGTTATACGCAATATTTTATCGAGCAAGTACTGTGTTATTCGGGCATTTATAAGAGTTGCCGGCAGAAGAAGCTAATACGAAACCAGCTTTGTTTATACCTTGGCAAACGATACCATTGCCAGAGAAACCTTGATCACAATGACAGCTGAATGATTGAGGTTCATTGACGCATCTCGCATTACTACCACAGTTGTGTGTTCCCTCATTACATTCATCGATATCTGAATGACAAAAATACATATGATTAACGCAAAGGCACTTAGTTTACTTTGCTGGGGGAAGTCACGAGGTATAAATAAAAGTAGCCTGCGAACAGGCTCACTGGGAGAAAGGTGAGCCTGCACGGAACCATGCGTTTTATTCAATCATCCCCTTTTCGCATCTGCTAAACGCGAACCAATCAGCGTCGACTGCGATAAATAAACTGTCAACTGTCAAATTGACGCAAGGCGTGTACATTGTGCAACGACGAAATACTGAATATTAGAATGTATACATAATGTTTATATGAACAATAATACAAAGCATTAGGGGGCCGCACAAAATATTACTCCGAAAAATATAGAATTCTTCAAATATTAAATAGAGTCATAGAGATCAATACACATACAAATATAAAGCCGAATAAAATACTACCATTGGCATTGAATCAATGTACAGTAATACTTGTACTATGTGAGACTGAAAGAACAATGTTCTGAATATTTTAAGCTATTACTAAAATACGGTCAGATAGATTGGGATTTGGAATACCAAATACGTCTAAAATTTTACTAACTGTGGTCTAAATAAATGATAAATGAGCATGTATTTATTAATTTCTTCGAAATCACGAGTGTGCCAATAGTGGAAGCATAGTGGCGGAAGCCGTATCGACGACAAAATTGTCAGCAGTTTATACAGTAAATAGTACAGCGTTTAATGTACGATATATATTTATATCTAAATGACATGCCAGCGAGGATCAACAATATAATTATTCGTACATATTTGGGTATCTTTTGTATACCTTCGCTTGCTGACTTGCTCACTATAATGAGAATAATCCGTGAAGCCACAACGACCTCAAAGTCATGATGTCAATCCGAAGTTTCAGAATACTGTTATAGTTTCGTATATTGGATTTAAGCGATAGATTCAAGTCATTTATGATAGACGTTTTGCTGTGATGCTTTGCTATTGCTTTTGGTTTCCATTTCTAGTTTTATTTGTTCGATAGTCTTATAATATATAATATTATTTAAAATGAATAAAGTTCAAATTCTTCAAAATGCTGTTGTTGACATTTGCTATTTTTAGCAATTTTGTCAACGAGTGTAAGCCAATCAGAAGCCTGCGTTTCTATACGAACGCCACTACCAAGAAAACCTATAGTTCCGTGCAGGCCCTCTATTCTTCGCGCCGCCCGTAACCCAGGGCCTGTTCGCAGGCTAAAATAAAAGGTCAAACAACTAAACAAGTAATTAAAAAAACTACAACCAGGGACGCCGGAACGATGTAAAGGCAAGGGGGGGGGGCAGATTTTCGTGAAAGGACACTTTTGAATTGATATATACTAAGAGATGTTTGCAAAACATCGGGAATTGAACTTGCCTAATCATGTTTTCTATTTATTAGATGATAGGGGTGTGAGGGGGTTCTCCGCCAGGCGATTGTGCTATTCGTGAAGCTCAATGACTGCATTTCTTGCGTTTTCTGAAACATATTCGTAAAATAATTGCACTAACATTTCGGACAATTTGCTATTTCGCTAAGGCAATCCTTTAAATTGAAAGGGCACCTTTGCCCCCCTTGCTCCTCCTGGTAAAGGGCAACGGGGCGGCTGCCCCTCCTGCCCACCCCCAGCTCCGGCGTTCCTGGCTACAACGATGTTACAACTACACATACAGGGATGTTGCGAAGCATCTGCAGTTTGGTGGGGTGTGCCAAACGAATTAGAATTTTTGAAGACGATTTGACATGAAACCTCTACGGATCAGAAACGACTCACAACAACTCTCGCAACAACTGTGAACACGCAACAGGGAATCGTTAAATATTCAATATATAAATTTTAACCTTAAAGTCGTATTTCAGGGAGGAAAGAATATATTACAAAGTTATCAATGCATAAACAATCTGATTCACAGATAACTGGTGAAGAATATCTTTTGTCTTAAATGGTCAGTTCACAACAGGGAAAACTTTGTTCCAATTTCTATACGATACTCAGAGTTATAAGAGAACAAAAATTTGTCCTCCAAATTAAAGGCGGAAGACTAAAATATTTGGTTTGCTCATCTTAAATGTTATTCATGCATTCTGCTCTCTCCTCCGCAGAGCCTCCTTAAGTATTTACAAATAACTTACATGAAGTTTCCCGAATAAAAGTGGGTGCGCGCGTTGTGATGGGAAGATTGAAATGAAGTTGGGGAGGCTCTGCCAGATTATGCGACGAAGTATATTTTTTGAACCAAACTAGCTGTTTGACCTTTTTAAGGATTTGCGAAGCAAAATTCTTTATGTCATCGGGTGTGTAAGATAGATAGATAGATAGTAAATGAATTAGAAATGTATTGCCTGTTGCGGAATGCGGACACTTCGAAATAATTTTGTTGTTTTTTATCCAAACGTTAAATTATAAAATATCTTCAATATTTCTACAAATTTTCCACAAATTCAGTTTTTCTTTTATCTTTGATGCAGTGATAAAGCCATTTAAAAGTTGTAGTAGATTAACTTTAAATATAACAGTAATTAAACAAAAGTTGACATTCGAAGAAAATATTTGTCATGCATGATGTTGTGTTTTGTTATACTACATTTTGGGCGATATTTTTCCATCGTTCTTGCATTATGAACTGATGTTTTTTAATCTTTCTTGCATTATAAAATTGACAACAAATTGCAAATCCTTATGCACTCTTGAGTGCCTATTTTTTAAGCTTGAAATCAACGGAAATGTGAAAGAAATTGAAATGAATCTTCATAATCTGAGTATCGAAGTTCAATAGAGTCATTTTTGTGGCTAGCCCGTTTGCGGGCTAGCCATTATCACATAGTACACAAACGCGAGCAGAAATTTTTTTTGGGATCACTTTCTTTGGGAGCTTGGTAACCGCGCCTGTTATGATGCAATATAGGAAGCCTGTACAGCAGGAAATAGATTGCGGTCGAATACTTTGACGCAACTTATATATTCTATATTTATTTACATAACCGCTGCGGTTTTGACGCATTATTCATCGCGTCTTTCCGAAAGCTTTGTACCCATAAATAAAATGTACTAAAAAGAGAATACATTACGTACAAATTTTTTATAAAATAGATCAAAATATACCATAAATATTGAGATATATGCTAGTATAAAGGTCATAAGTTCGTGCGTAATGGTATTCGAAATATAGACATATTATTAATTCGCAGTTCATTTAACTGATAGAAACGTTCACATTCAAATTATTCAATTAGGTATGAATTTGGTTTAAAAGACTCCCTGTTTGTATTATATTGTGCACTACTAATACTGTGTGAGTCACAGATAGTCTCGGTTGAAAACGTGATGTTTATACTAGCTGACAAATATGCAAACCACAAGTCTAATAATGCTTATAGGCGTATCAAAATTCAAAGATCAAAATTTGCCTGCGCGCAATGCAAAATGTAAACAAGACACGTTTATCGATTTTGCATTATAAACTGTGGAAGCTGAGGACGATGCAGAAATTCAGTTGTAGTAACTTCTAATATATAGATTTTACATTCGTACTTCAGCATTCAGTTTATTTCAGGCTATTATTGCCACACACGTTAGTGTTTATTTTCGGAAAATTTAAATATTTCCCGCTAAAGGTTAATGATAATCAGAATGGTATAATAGACTTTATATGAGTACCTGAATAACCCCAAGTTTACATTAAGTGTCCCAACAAATCCAAATATGTACCCTGAGTAAAAGTCGCGGTTACCAAGCCTCCCACGGAAAGTGATCCCCAAAATTTTAGGCCATTGTTGGACTGATGGCTTAAAATGTGCCACAAAATTGAATTTCGCTGCCACATCTTGAAACTAACGATTTCTTTCATAAAAGCATGGAGAAACATACAAATTCAAACAATCAAGGTGGCCCCTTTTGAAAAGTTTGCACAATAGGGAAAAATCGACGGTATTCTGGTGATGACGTCATATATAATTAGGTAACACATTTTTTTGGAAGTTTTCAAATTTTGACAACAGCATCAGATAGGGCGACTTGAGACAACAAATAAACTATATTATACCAATTTCATCCAGTCACTCATTACTGAATTATCGCTGACTCAATATTTAAAAAAATGATGAGTCAGCATTTTCCCATCTATTGTTAGTTTATCTGACCCGCTAATTGTGCATCAATGGAAAGTTGACTCTCATCTGGATCACAGTTAATCATATGTTGAAGCAAGTGGACATTAATATTTTGTAAAAAACAGAACAAAATTATGTGTTTTGATAATGTGAAGTCCGTTTCGTCCATGTGCAATGTCGGGTCCCATTGCTCAAAATTCCGTTTTGTTTGACATCTACTAGAATGAGTCTCTCATCCATATTTATTCAGGAGAGCAACAATTAATTATATACATTTTAATGAGTCAAAAGGCAGACAAACTGCACAAACGGCGAATGGACTTTACATCACCTTCAATTGTCTCCATAACCATTATCGCTCTCGCTATCGGCTTCATGATTAATATCGTAATCTTTGGCTTCATTTTCTGAGTTTTCGTCCGCTGATCCCGAACGGTTGGCGCATCCTTCGCAACGACACATATCCGTGCAGTGAAGGTTTTCTTTAAAACAAGAGCACCTATTGTTTGAGCATCCCGATTTACACCCGCAATGCACATTTTCTAAGACGCCGTCCGGTGCTGGAGGTAAATCCATCCACACGATGGACACCATATTATTCGCAAAAGCCCATCCATGGTTAGTAATGTCCGGTGCCATGATGAATATAATGGTTGTAAAGCTCTCCTCCATATTGGTGCTTGGTAGTTAGCACAACTTAGGTGTTGTAATAGCATATCTTTTGTGCATGGCATCGATTCTTCGTTGAAAAGTGCAGCGAGACGAAAAAGGTGTAAACGTGCCTTTTTCACTTCAGTGGTGTTAGGTTGGTTATACAGTTGACAAACAAATTTCTCACATCTTCCTAGTAATTCTTGCTCGTAAGAAAACACATGCCCTACCGGCCCCTACGTTGTTAAAAGTGTCGACAAACTCAGGAGATTCTTCCAGCAGTTTGTATGGCTTTAGTTTTCCCTTACCATAAAAGGCACTTGTACTATCGCAACCTACAAAAGGGCCCTTTCTCGGTATATGAGCAACCGAAATAGGCATACAACACTCTTACACATTGCATACCTTAACGTACCTTAGCCTACCTTAGGGTACCTTAGACTACCTTAGGGTACTTTAGCCTACCTTAGCCTATCTTAGGGTACCTTAGACTACCTTAGCCTACCTTAGGGTACCTTAGACTACCTTAGACTACCTTAGGGTACCTTAAACTACCTTAGGGTACCTTAACCTACTTTAGCCTACCATGACCTACCTTACCCCAGCTTAGGGTACTTTAGATCTAGACTACCTTAGCCTACCTTAGCCTACCTTAGGGTACCTTAGCATACCTTAGCCTACCTTAGCCTATCTTAGACTACCTTACGGTACCTTAGCCTACATTAGGGTTCCTTAGACTACCTTGGAGTACCTTAGCCTCCCTTAGACTACCTTAGACAACATTAGATTTTTAGGTCGATTAGATAAAACAAGGG